TTAATGAGAAACATGATACTTGAGATTCACAAGTTTTTCACTCAAAATGCTAGGTAAAGTTTTACCTCTACAAGTCAAACGTTCTTCAAGAAAAGAATTTTAACTCCCCCCCGTGGTTTTTTTTTTTTTGGGGGGGGGGGGGGTTGGTGGAAACTAAAAATTGAATTGAACGAGCACCTTGAAGCTGCTGGTTAGTGGTATTGGAGAGTGGACCTCCAAAATAAATGAGCATGATTACACAGACAACATGATTTCACACAAATGTAGATATATTCAGAGAGATTGTATAACAGCACAGCTGCCGATATGCTGCATCTTACAGCTGGATGGCATGATGGCAGCTTTAGCTGTTGTTTGTGGCGATATTGCTAGTGAAGACCATGAATGATTCTGTTAGCCAAGAATGCTTCATTATTATAAATTATAGAATAATCATCTTGACTGCGAAACTAGTTTGTCAGCTCTGGTAAGTAAAACAACATGGTCGTTTTGTGGAAGCAGGCCTTTTTGATCCAAAAATCCAGTTTTTGGCACAGTCTGGAAAAGCGTAGTCAACTGTTTTAACCAAACAAGCAAAATATTTTTGTAAATAGGGCATATTTTTTTTTCTTTAAATAAATGCAGCTCTAACTGGGAAAGTAGTTTTTGGGACTAAAACATTGACATAATTTGCCTAAAAAACCTCTGTTGTTTTAGTACACTGGCTGCCTATAGATATATAGCTCCTGGCTCTAAAACAGCAAAGTCATATGTCAACACAAAATACTTGGAAAAATACAAGTTCACAGTATATCTTAGTAGTAATAGTTAAAATGCCTGCCTTTTCATGTTTTTTCTTTTTTGCTGGATTTTTCCCATTGGGGAACATTACCTGTGCGTCATGTCCTATAGACATAACAGGAACTGAGAGGATGTTTTCGTCAAAGAAAGGGAAAACCCCTTTTTGACAGTTGTAACCAGAACAAGTGTCACCACTGAAAGATTTTCCCTCTATTCCTGCTCTCATGACAACTTTAAATGTAAAAAAGTTTTGGTTTTAGATACGCGTTGTTTGTAAACAGATTTCAGTAATCTAAGTTAAAATATATATTGCCAGCTAATGGAATTAAAACAACAAGTCACAGCCTTTTTTTTTTTTACACAGTGCTTAATAGTTTTCCAGAAATGTGGAGCAATTAACAGAACTTAACCCAGATCAAATGTGTGCCTTATTGGACCTTTGCCTGAGTACCACCTATTTCAAGTCCAAGGATAAGTTCTATAGGCAAAAACATGGCTGGGCAATGGGATCACCAGTTTCACCTATTGTGGCAACTATAATTAATTAGGGATACACTGATACCTTTTTTTCGGTTTCAAGTACGAGTACAATTATTTATCTTTTGGTACTAGCCGATACCAATTACCGATACTGCTACTTCCGCTAGCATTGAGCCGGCTGTTTGGCCGGCTCCATGCTGCTTGGCCGGGAAGCCAGTCAATCAGCATGAAGCCAGCCAAACAGCATAGAGCCGGCCTTCCGGCCAATCAGGAAGCCGGGCGGCGTGTCATTAACCGCCGGCTCCATGCTGTTTGGCCGGCTCCATGCTGATTGACTAGTAGGCCAGCATCCCAGTCAATCAGCATTGGCTTCCCGCTGCTTCCTGGCCAATCAACATTGAGCCAGCCAAAGAGCATGGAGCCAGCTTCTTGGCCAATTAGGAAACTGGGCGGCGAGTCATTACCTGCCGCCCGGCTTCCTGATTGGCCGGGAAGCCAGCTTCATGTTCCCTCATGGCACTTCTGGTCAGAGGAAAATCTCCCTCTGGCTAGAAGTTCCGTTATTGTGGGTAAGCAACGGAGCATTTAGGTGAGTACAAGTACTGGCCCAAATACTCGTTATCGGCAATGATACCAAAACTAGTATTGCTATCAGTACATCCCTAGTTATAATTCACACACAAGAGTTACAGGCTTTCACTGACATCAACTCAGTGGATCATAACATCACATTACGCAAAACAACACATTGGCTTTCTTGGACTGTTTGGCTGAAAATATGTTGCTTCCATGATGATCAGCTTCTTCTTCTCTTTATTTCTTCTTCCAAAAACCAACATCAGGGTAGTAGCAGTAGGATCATCTGGACAAGGAACTGACAAACAGGAAGATAGCATCTCACCATGGCAGCATAATGAACTGGGTAGAGACGCTAACAATTAAGAAGACCAAATAGATTTTTTTTGTCAAAATGTATGATTCATCTGGTGTGAAACACTATTTCAGAGGTAACAAGACAAAAATAAAATTATTTTATATATCTCCCCTCTCCCCCAGCACCACAGCAGCATCAGCACCTTGAACAGGGAAGGGAGTTTGTAATTCCAAAGGTACAGATGTAGATATTTCATCATTCTAGTTTGAGATTTTCACCTTTTTCTTTCTTTTCCCGTTAGCACCAGGGCTCTTCTGTACAATACAGATGCCTAACTTAAAAAAATATTATTGAACCCACAAAGGACAACATATCCAATCATAAAAGGAGACTGTCAGGGTAGAAATATGGAAGCCTACACTTCAGCCAAGCATTTGGAGTTACAAGCTTCAGGGTATAAACCTCACCCTTCCCTTACTACATGCTGAATTAATGAACTGAAATAACATGTCATAGTCAGTTGTCAAGACACCTAATATGCACATGTTTGTTATGGGTTACACATTGAGCAATGAAGCAAGGATAATGATTAAACCCCTGGAGCATGGACCTTAAAACATTTTTTTACTGGAAATAATTATCTTCGTTCATCAGATCTGAAGCAACCAGTACTCTTATGCGACCAAAAATAATTTGACATTGCATTTTTCAAGAGCCACTTGATGTTTTAATCCTTATGTTGAAGAATTACCACTAGTAAGATGATGATTTGTAGGATTAAAGGAGGCAGATTAAGTTACAGCCATGTATTCCAGATGGCAAACATGGCAAATTCCATTTCTGTGTGTGTGTGTGTGTGTGTGTGTGTGTGTGTGTGTGTGTAAAGTTATTTCAAGGGTTATGGCTGGTGTGTGCTTGTCAGACATGAAGAGCTACAACCATGTACATTACAATGAATTTAGTTTGACTGTTGAGCTCATTTTAAATATATATATGGATAAATGACAAGTTCTTCAAGACAGGTGCTTAGAAAAATGGAATTATGCATTTCTTTTATTTTCTTTGTGAAGTGTGCTGTAGGGTGAACTTGCATTTGCTTATGACCGTGTATAGCAGAAAGGTATTATTGTAACTCCAGCCTAAAACAACTAACAAATCCTTTCAGCAACAATAGATTTCCCTTAAGTACCATGAACACAGCTAACTTTTTCTGTGTAATCCAATCTATGAATATATACATCATGTTATATCACTAAGCCTTTCCAATGGCCATCAATATATGAAAGACCTACATGGCCTACCCCTTTGCTATTTACAATGCTTCTTTTTTAAAGCAGAAAGTATAGATTGCTTCTCCTACCTACTGGGCCTCATTGGCATTTGCTTATGATCAATGTGTGAATTACCAAAGTAGTATCCTTACAAGGAACAAAGTAAAAGTATGGAAACGTCATGCAGTGCACATGGAAATTATAGTCAAATAAGTCTTTCCAAAAGCAGAAAGTAAAGGTAAATTGATTTTTTTTGCAATACAGGCCTCTAAGTGAATGTCCCACCCATTGGGTTTTTAAAGCATCAGACGTTTTGCTAAACCAGAATAATTGACCTGTGGAAGTCATTATTACTGTAATACATATGCCTGGTAGATCACAAAAGGCTCCCCAGTTTCCTTTATGTATAGCTTAGTTAAAGTAGTATGCAATTAACAAATGTTTTTCAATAATTAATCCAGAACAATCAAATACTGTATACATTGCTCAGCAATTGCTTTGTCCACGCACTTACAGTCATCATATTTCTGAACAGTACTATTGAGTACAAAATAACAAAGGACAGCACAGTCTCCAGCAGCCTTCTTTCTTCTAGCTTGGATATGGGAGGAAGGACGGCTAGGGAACAGGGGGCAGCGGAGTGGCTTGCCTTGCTTTGCCTGTGTGTAAGTGGTTTAATTAGCTTTTGAAATGGCCTAAAAACAGCTTGACTTTAATATCACTTTAAGAGCCATTCGGAAGATAGACATTTCACATGTAAGTAGTAGACATTGAAAAAGCAGTGATATGGCCATACCTTTATAAAGCACAGCAATGTGCATTGTGATCTGCTGGCAAAGTGCAAATAAAGAGTAGAAGTCACACTCCTACACCCACACATTAATTTAAATTGGCTGCCAATGCACCATAACAAGACAAAAATTGGACATGTACTATTTTTTAGTAACACAGTGCACCACAACCCAAGGCAGTGTGTTGTGGTATGCTGCAACATAATTGCATTCTTAGTGTGTTGGGGTGCTATTAAACACATAGGTTAGAATGGGCTCTCAATCAAAAACTGTTCAGTCGGTGACTATCCATATCTCTGAAATGATGGTTGCCTGCTCTCTTTGGCTTGAAGTGGTTAACAATCCCTAGATACTCATTTCCTAGCAGCTGAGTCTAAAAAACTAATTTTCTTTCTTTTTTTTTTAATCCGAGTCCTAAACATGTAATTTTGGTGTTTTTTTTTTCTCCTTTCCCGTATATCATCTCTCAACTGTAGCAATTTTCCCCCTTTGAAAAGAAATCTATTTATAGTGCAGCACAGAGAGCAGAGCAAGAACCCATATTGTAAATGTGTCTAGCTAAATAATATCTGGCTTGTCGAGATCAAATAGAATTCATTGTGAAAATAGAAGCTGCGACTTGTAAAGCATCCTGTGCCCCTGCTACTCTGTTATTTCCATGTTTACATTCCTACTCATGACAATTCTGAGCTAGTCATGTAAGCTGTTGTGAGGGATTAAGTAATTAGGGAGTATTAAATGTATTTGAGGAGCTGGGTCATGGAAAGCGAGAGGGAGGGAGGCAGAAACAGAGAGGGAGCAAGCGAGAGATATAAAATCTATCCCTTTACTCATAGCCTGGTAGCTGGAAGGGACAGATCATCTTGAAAGACTTTTATTTATTTTATTTTCACGTCTACCAGTTTGATACGGCTGAGATGGGTGAGTATTGATTGTGGGATGATGGATTGACATAAGGAGCTCTTTCACACGGGGCACACAATAGGCATGAATGTAGAATATACCCCAGGAATTCAGCCTGACTCAGAAGCCATTCCAGTTGGAACTGCTTATCGTAGACCTTTTAGCTTGATGTAACAAAATCAGAGCAAAATCTCTTTTACTGGATAAGCTGTATCTCTGGAGTATTGTACCTGTTTATATGTATTTCTCTCTAATGCCAAATTCACTGCTGCATGCATTGTATATTCTTAGAACTAGGATCCTTAGGCCTTTTTAAATACCTTATTTGATTGTTATTGTCATTTTATTAAAGGCTACATAGGCCTTTAGGATAAAGCTGCATTATATATAAATCAGCATTGGTCATGTAGTTTTGAAATATTAAGTATGGTTGGACTCTTACATCTTTTATCTTAAGCTTAGGCTGTATCAAGTTTAGCAAATCACAATTACGTTGACTAAAAAGGACCATGATATGTTAGACAATATTTTTTTTATATGCAACTCTTTCTATCTGTTAGGTTGTATGCTTTTTAGCAGAATGATTCTCTGTGGGACACAAGGATGTGCACCATTACAGATCTTGTTAATGAATGCAAGAGAGACTTTGAATGTATTAATATCACTACAGTGTTTATTCTGATAGCTCTTCTAAACTTGGCTATGTTGCTTGAATGTTGCTTGTGAAAGAGTTTAGTAAAGTTTTACTCATATTTAGATTGATACTTATGTTCGCTGTATGCAAAATGAAAAAATGTACTAGGGAACTTTAAATCATGGGGAGTGTATTAGATGAGGGCAGTGAAAGTATGAAAGGTCAGTCGTTTTAAATTAGACCAGCATTAACAGGTTAAGTAGGGTGGTTTTACAACTAAGTCCTCGAAAGCTAATATCATGATTTAGCATAAACCTTGATACATTAGATAGGACAGTGATGAATCCTTTGTGAGGTTTTAGTCTGAGAATCCTGATGTTTCCGTGGAAGTGCACTTTTCAAATTAAGTATTTATGCAATGACAGCTGATTTGAGATTTCCATATTTTTGCTAGAGAGTTAATTAGATTTGATTTATCTTGACTGTAAATATCTGTGTCACTGAAAGGCAAAGGAAATATATTCCTGCATTGTAGTTGTCCATATGGTCTGTAGAGTACATTACGCCTAATATGTTTATACACTATATTGGTTTAAAAGCTCAAACAAACATAGCAACCATTATTTACCCTTCTGCAATGAATCCTTTTCACATCCTCTGAAAATAATGACTGCTCAGTGGCCTAGTCTCCTCTGCCAACTTGCAAACCAGTGACAAATGTCACACATTAGCTTACTGTTAACACCTATGATTCACACAATATCATTAGCCAATATTGCAAATTTCACAAAGGTCTATTCCAACTGATAACCAAATGAAGATGGTGTTTCAATAGGGAAATTTGAAGAAGAAGGCTGGATTGTTGAACCTGGATCACAGCTCTGCTCCCTCAGGGCTATGGGCCTGGTTGTAGTTGATAATACTGCTCTCCTTGTAGCTCCACCACCGACCCCTTCCTTTTATTCCCAGCCATGAGCAACTTGGTGTTCTACCTTGGTGTACAACCTGGCAAGAGCTCTGACACTTTGCTAGCTTATCCAAAACTAAACAAAAAATGTTTTGGGTTAAAATATGTAAGCCATTAGAGTAGAAGTAGCTTTTCCCAGATTTTACTTAGTCTTTTAATACTAGAGATGTAAGATTTATTTTATTCCGAATTTAAATTCCGTCAAATTTTGGCATATTTGGACATCTGAATTTCCGAATGAAAAAGGTATTGAATCTGAACTTATCTTAATTTTGATCATGAAAATGCAGATGGCTCCAACATTTTTTCAAATTGTCATTCAGAATGAACTTGTGTTGTTAAACATTGAAAAAAAATAAGTGTGTAGTCCCCTCCTAAATTCACACGAGACCCTTGAGGTCTGGTAGGAATTTTAGGGGGGACCCCAATGCCAAAAAAAACCCAAAAGCATGGGGTACCCACTAAAATCTCTTACCAGACCCTTGATTCGAGCAGCAGCCTGACAGAGCAGTAAAGGGGGAGCGAGCGTGCCCTCAACATTAGGTGGGTGCTGTGCCGGGGGGCTGGTCATGTTGATGAGGACAAGGGCCTCTTTCCCACAACCCTGGCCTGGTGGTTGTAGGGGTCTGTGGGTAGAGGGGCTTATAGGAATCTGGGTGCCCCCTTTCTTAAATGGGCAACCCAGATGCCACCCCCTCGCAAATGTGTAAGGGGTAGTTGTTTCCGCTTACTCATTCACCAAATACAGTAAAATAATTAAATGAACACAATCCACTGGAAAAAAAAGTTTTTTATTTAAAGAAAAAAAAGCACGATACAGTTTTTTGACAATCCCATTATTAAAGAAAAGTCCATCAATGTAATGCACAGGTCAATTACGTTGTCCATCATCATTGGCGTGGATCTACATCGCTGGATGATGTGATTGACCTGTAGATTACATCGATGGACATTTTTGTTTTTTGTTCTTTTAAATAAAGGAAATTGTTGTGTTGTGTTTTTTTTTTCATATTTGCACATTTGTCCCCCCTTTCCTGCTCTGTCAGGCTGCTGCTCGAATCAAGGACAGTTCACAGGAACAATTAAAAAAAAAACCATTAGGACTGGTATGGAGTTTTATGTGGGACCCCACACTTTTTTTCCCCCCTAAAATTCTTACCAGTCCTAAAGTTTTTTTTTTAAACTGTTCCTGTGAACTGTCAAAAGTTAAAAAGAAAAAAAGTAAACATTTCATCTCACTTTTCTACAATGAACATTCATTCGTAATTATTGTTTAACTCATACAAAATTAAGGAAAATTCAAAGTCACCCAAATAACGAAATTGAAATAATGAAAACTCAAACAAATTTTTTGCCGGCTTACATGTCTACTAAATACATAGATGGAATCATAGTATATGGGTATTCTTATGTCTTAATTCATTTAAATAACATTTAAAGTTTTCTTACAATTATTAATAATATAATTACCTGCATTTCATCTTTGGCCCCTGAAGGTCACTGTCATGTGAACACTGTTTGCAGGCAATAAAAGTGTTTGTTCCTTTCTGTGTAGGTCTCTTACAGAAGATGATCTGATAGCAGGTGGTATCTAAATATTCTTCCTCAGCCCATCATTATCAGCCCAATGTGGCACTCACTATTAAACTTGATATGTGCTATAAACATCAATTCTTGGGAGGCTGGATTTGGCACAAATTGGTTTTATTTGGCTAGATGTCACTACATGATATAAGGTTGTCAACATATAGATCAGTTATGTCTATAGAGACCATAAATGTCTGTACCCACTGTGTAGTTAACCTTTAGGACATGCACTTGACCGTTACTGTCTCACTCTGATATGTTGCAAATCACTTCCCAAGCAACAGTCTTTATGTTTACAAAGGGTACATTATGCACATTTTTCATATGTAGCATGGCTAAAAACAGCCAAACTTTTCTTTTGCTTTTATAACAAATATAATTTTTTTAAAAACCCAATAGTTTGAAATGCCAACAAATGTAACGCAATAAAGACTCAAGAAAACAAACAAGCAGCACCATAATTCATCAAGAAAATTAGATGAAAAAATATTATTGCTTTATTTATACATGTATAATATTTCAACCTTAGCAGCTAACTCCATTTCTCATTTACAACGATGCCATGTCAATTTAATAATCATAAACATATCACTAAAGAATAAATATATATAAAGACAACCAACACCACTGGGTCCTGGGTAGCGTCCTGTATCGGGTTTGCCTGTCCCCTAGACTGTGGTGTTTTATGAGATAACCTGGTGGTAGTGGTAGGGCTGTGTAGCAGTCTGCAGATAGTTAAAGTAGAGTTTAAGTCAAAACTTTTTTTTGTTTTGGATTGAGTAAGTAAGAGTTATGACCCCTGTCACCTTTTTTTTTTTTGCTATCTGTTGAGTAGATTTGCCTTCACATCTTGTCAGATAGCCACAACAGGAAGTGAGAAAAAGTCCCTCCAAAAAGTGAGGGAAACCCCTGGTGGTCAGCATGGTCACCAAAACTAGTATCCCTATTGGAAGTTTTACCATCTCTTCCTGTTTTAATGATAACCCAATATTTGTGGTTTTCTTCCACTTGCAGTAATAACGGTCACCTGGACAAATAAACAGGTTGAATCTTCCTAATGGGCCCACAGAAAGCAACACGCTATCCAAAACTAAAATTTGCACTTTAAGCACTGGTCACACCTTTCCTCCCTACCTGGGGTAATATTCGATTCTTTTTATAGAGAGATTGAATTATTGTGTTTTTTTATCAATTTTTAAATGGACTATTGGACAAGTAAGACCCCGTTCACATTGAGCGATTTATCGCGCGGTAATTCCCGCGATATCGCGGCACATTACCGCGCGATATCGCGCTCCAATGCAATCCAATGGGGCAAAGGGTCCTGCTGTCGCGGGTCGTGTGTCGCTACAGCAGGACCCTTTTTGGAGCGGATTTAGCCGCGATTCAAGCTTGCTCAATGCAAGCTTGAACGCGACATCGCGCGGCAAATCTCGCGATGTCGCGCAAATATGCAAATCACGCGACAAACGCGCGATTTGCATATCGCGCAGTGGGAACGGGGCCTTAAGGTGAAGAAGTCGACACTTTAGTAGCATTTAATAGAATTAATATTTAACAGTGGTGAGAAAATACATGGCACAGATGGATGTTCTAGTCATAAATAATAATGCTGCCATGCCTGACAATGACCTATAATGTGTTTATCTAATTTATTAGGACATTTACAGAGCTGCCATCTTATGTGTTCAGGCAAGCACAATGATAAAAAATGGTCAAACGTGAACTGCACATTGCCTATTGTAAGTAGCCCTGAATGTGAATAAATGCCTTCCCCAATAGAATAGAAATGATAAACTGAAAAGTAAGCACAAATCAAATAAAATATAT